CTGCAGTACCATACTGCAAGCCCCTTCCCTCCCTCGCCTACTGGGTTGAGGTGGCGTTGCGCTGCCTCCCGCCGTTGGGGTTTAGGATAGGTTAGGGAGGATTCTTTCTCGCTTGGCGCCTCCGTGCCGCCGGGCTCCCACTCAGCTTTTCTGGCCTGTGATGCAGTGTCGTCTCTCCCCTGGCGTAACTCTCGCAGCTTTTGCGACACTTCGCCTATACTGCTGGCCTGGAGCTGTTTTGGCTTTTGTTGCTTTAGGCAAAATTTGCTCGCTTTTGCCTGTTTTGCGGAGAAGGTCCCGCTGCAACTCAAGGGGTTCCTTTGTTATTCACTTCGTTTGGTGCCAGTCGTGCGTCGCGTGTTATGGCCTTCACTTGAGCATGGGCGCCAAGGCCAGGACCCTCACTCAGCCTGCTTTTGCCCGGCGGGATTCGGGTGCGAGCTCTGTATACCCCGCCGCACAAGGTTTTATCCTTGCACGCCTGAGTTTGGTGTTGGCAGTCATACTGTTCTCCGTGGGCTGAGCAGTCCCTGGCTTTCCTCCCTGCAGCACCTTTGGCTTCCTGGCCCCGTTCTTTTTGTTTACCTGCCTTGGGTTTTGGGTTGCAGGCCCTGTTCCTCCCTCCTGGGTTTCTCAGGGGCAGGTCTCTTTTCTGCCCGTCCTCTTCCATTGCGGCTGAGTGGCACAGCGTTGTTCCCTGCGCTTGAGAATTGAAGGGAAAGCGTCGTTCCCTGCGCCTCGTTGAGGGGAATGCGTGGGCCCCGCGCTTAAGTCCAAATTGAGGGGCTGCAGCTCTGTTGCTGTGGCTGCAGATGGGCAGTTGGCAGCTCGTCTCGGCTTGCTTGCGCTTGCAGATGAGCCTTCAGGTTTGGTTGTTTTCTTTAGGCCCTTTTGACCCTTCCGTTTCCTCCCTCGGGCCAAGGGAGTCGCGCACCTTCGGTCTCTTTTCGGCCAGCAATGCCCACTCAACCTGCCTGTGTGCTTGGTGGACCGTGGTGTTGTGCAGGCCAGTGGCAGTGTAGCTGAGGTTGCCCCTGTCCTTCGCCCCTGGGCCCAGCCCTCCTCGCTTCTGGCTAAGGTTCACCTCGTACTTTCTCTTCTCCCCGCCGTTCTCTTTCCTAAGGGCGTTTGGGTGCGATTGGTGGGGTTTAGGATACTCTTTACGAGCCCCTGGAGGTTCCTCTCCAGCCGCTCCCTCAGGGTCCCCTCTCTTGTTGGCTTCGCCCAGGCTAAGGGCAGCTGCTCTGGCTCCTCACCTCTGGGTTGAGGCTCCTCACCTTCCTGGTTGAGGTTCGTCACTTTCTGAGGCTTTCGAGCCGGGGCACAAAGTTTTCACCCCCTCTGAGGCTACAAAAGCCAGGACCCCGTTTTTACCCTGGGACTTGCCGAAGGCATCCCAAAGGTGGTACTGAAACCCTGTACAGAGGTAGGGCCTCCGCCCCTCGCCTTACTGGCCGAGGTTGCCGTAGCCCTTCACCCAATAGGGGTCTGAGGTACTCACCCTTCTGCATGGAATTCACGTGTTGAGACCTCGTCTACGACGGCCTCCGCGCTCGGCGAATGAAAAGTTTGCTCCGATCTCAGCAACTTTGGCCTGCACGCGTCCCACTCCTTCTACTGCATGGGGGCGGTCCTCCTTTGCACTAAATGCTATGCGGTCCACAAGCCAGGGCAGCTTAACCCCACGGCTGTGGCCAAATCGCAGTGTGAGGGGGCCTCCCGCGCACACAAAAAACGTGGCACCCAATGGGCGGCCAAATACCTTAAGGAGACGTCCACCCAGGACACTCTCCAGAAGGTGCTAGGACGTGCAGAGAATGAGGGATCCGGTTCTTCCCAGAGGGGGGTCGCCCTCACAATCCAGGCTCGGTTGCTGGCCCTAGTGGTGCTGAGAGGGTTGAGGACCCCTCCCCTCAGCCTTTTCGCACCCGGGAACAGTCTTCCTCCAAAGGCAAAAGCAAAAAAGGCAGGAACACCCAGCCTGCTCCGAAAGCTGCTGACCACGGCCCGCCTGCTACCACTCAGGTGGCACCTAGCACAAAGGCCAAACGGGCCTCGAGCCTCCCTGCGAGACCACCGCCGGGCAGAGGGTCCGAGGTTCCCTCCCCTGCGCTGAGGGAGCCCGAGTCATCCCTTCAGGCCAGCTTGAGGGCCCTTAGGGTCAGCGGTAGTGGTTCCCACACCGCGAGGGAGGCCCACATAGAGACCTCTGGGCACCACGACCGGGAAAAGGAAAAACCTGTGGAGAGAGAGCGGAATCCCGCACGAGCGTCTGGTTGCAGGGCCCCTAGACCCTCAGGCTCCAAGTCCTCCGCCCTAGCCCCTTTTTTCTCAGGTCAACCCAAGGCCCCCGAGGCTCCTGTGTCTGTTGGTGATGTTGGGGAAGGGTCTGCTGCACCCACCCCGAAGCCCAAGCCGAAGCCCAAGCCTGTGACTCAACCTAAGCTCCGGCAGTTCTGGGCCCAAGGTGGGAAGCCTTAGGGAAGCCGTAGCCTTTTTTAGGCACTTTTCCTTTAGGGCCATTTCCCCCTACCCTAGTCACCTGGGACGCAAACACCTACCTCTGACGCAGTTTTTCCCCAAGCCTTTAAAGCGCAGTAGCTGCAGCCATGGCCCACGAGCACCTCTCGCTTCCCCGGCCGTAGCCCTCTCACTTTTCGAGATGGGCTGGGAATGGGAAAGGAGGTGGTGCTACCACTCCTGGAGATGGGTCTGGCGAATGGTTTGGAACGGACCAGAACCGTTTGGGGCTGATTTCTGGGAGCCCCCAGCCGAGCCCCCAGCAGATCAGACCGCCGGTCACAGCTCCAACTCGGGAGCTTGTGGTGATACCGGCGGCTCTGATGGTCCCACCACCGGCTGGCAGGACTGGCAAGGTTGGTGGGACGAGTGGGACTGGACCGACCAGGCTGGCGACACCGGTGCCAGCGGGTCCAGGGACATCCCACCCGCCTCCTCTGAAGGGCGTGGTCGTTCCACCCCTTCAAAAGGGCGAGGCAAACAGCCCTCCGTCCATAGGGAGGACAAGGCCCTCGTCCAGGCCTACCGGAAGCACGTGGACGAGCGTGCCAAGAAAAACCCCGATGCGAGGCGGGTTTCGGTTTCCAGCTTTGTGCGGAACCGAAAGCGTCCCCCTCGCAGCCAGAGGGAGGCCCTAAAGGCCGAAAGGGATGGGTCCAACCCTCCCAAGGCCTCGCTGGACGGCAAGCCGCCTAGAGTCCGCACCCCTCCGCCTGCCAGGCGGACTGGCGGCAACAGCAAAGGGGCGGCAAAGGCTGTGAAAGCCTCAACAAGCTCCACGGAGAGCTCTGAGAGCAGCCCCCCGACGGCACCGACGGAGCCTCAGGAGCCAGAAGACCAGGAAGAGATGCTGCCCTGGTCCCGCCGCATCGTTCAGAAAACGACGGCGGTAAAGTCGTCGGCCAGGGCCAACGACCCACCCAGCAGCTCTGGAGAGGAGATGGAGCCTGACCCACCCTCTGCTGCGCCGGGTCCCAGTGCCGTGAAGGCACCCTCCGACCAGGAGGCCACCGAGGTGCCTACAGCTGCACCCATGGAGGAGGTGCCCGCCAAAGACGAGACCACCGCCAAGGATGACCCCGTATCCGGGGCTCCGGTCTCAACAGGCTCAACCTCCCCTTCCAGGGTCGAGGAAGGAACAGCAGCCGCGACACGTCCTCCGCGTGCATCGAGGGTTGAGGAGCCTCCTCCCCTCCCTCCTCCTCCCCACCCTCCCGAGGGAGGAGCAGCCCCGCGCAAGAGAAACAGGGGCGATGTCCCAGGCGGGGCCCCGGCGGCGACTCAGTTCATGCGCCTCGACATAGAGTGTCGCCAGGCGCGATGGATCGCCCTGGCCGTGAAGCCCTCAGCTCTTGCCTCTGAGGTGCTCAGCCTGTGTCGCAACAGGCTCAAGCTGGGGGGCTTGGACTGCCTCCAGGTCTGGCCAGACGAGGCGATCCTGGACCTTCGGTTGCCCGTGGGCGACCAACTCCGCGAGGGTGAAAGGACCCTCATGGCTACTGGGCCTTCGGCCCTGCAGCCAGAGGTCCCCGAGGCCAGCGAGCCCTCCCTCAGCGAGGCTGCGGGGTCTACAGGAGGGACGGGGTGCCCCCCCCCTCAAGAGCCTTCCCCCGAGGACTCGGCTCTTGCAGAGGATGTGGTGGCACCACCCTCGTATGGACCCCACCGAGCAGTCAACAGCCCGGATGGGCTTTTTTGTTACGCTTGTAGGGTCGGGTGCCCTACAATCGAACATATGCAAGCCCATTTCATGACCCCCGGGCATCAGGAGAGGGTCAGGAGGTTTTTGGCCTCCTAGCCCCCCCTCTCCTGTGCAGAGACAGGAGGCTCTGCAGGGTGAAGGTTTCCTCCCCTCCGGGTGAGGTACCCTCCCTGTAGGACTTTCGTCCTGTTTCACTGGGATGTGGCTCCCCACTCCCAGGAAGTGGCTACCCACTCCTGCCAGTAGCTCAGGTAGGTCAGGCAGCCTGTAGCTCAGGGTAGGAGTAGCCACTGCCGCCACTTTGGCGATGCCCGCAAATGCGGATGACTCCAAAATACTTGGAGTTAATTTGTGCATGTCGGACAAGCCTACGGGCTGCTTCTGCGAAGCGTGTGCGAGAAAAGTTTGCTCCTTGGAGTTAATTTGTGCATGTCGGACAAGCCTACGGGCTGCTTCTGCGAAGCGTGTGCGAGAAAAGTTTGCTCCTGGCTCAAGATTTCGGCTCAGACTTTGCAGTGCCGTCGTGGCCTTTTAGCCTTGGGACCCACTTTGTCTAGAGGCTTCGAAGAGTCCCCAAACCCAACCTGGTAAAGGTCGTAGGCCTGACAGCAGGCAAGGGTTTGGTGGGCGGCCCGGTAGGCTGTTTACTGCACTTTCTGAGTGAGGTCGATCCTCCTCTTGCCGAGTGCACTTCTAGAGCTTGGAAGTGGGCACCACTCCTTGCTTGTTTTCCTGCAGCCGCTACTTCTGGTAGTGGTTTCCACACCAGCTTGCAGCCATGCCGCGCACTCCCAAGTGGATCCCGTGCGCCTGTGGGTACCACTGGGCCTGGAAACGTCAGGTCGAGTCGGGTGAAAATACCCACTGTGCGTACTGCGGCAGAAACTGGCAGAAGCAGCTGAACAAGCAGCAAGCAAACAAGGAAGCCCGTACCGAGAACTCCCAGAGCCCCCGAGCTGTCTGGGAGGACGGTCGCACCAAAGGCAAGGGAAAAGGAGAGGGAAAGGGTTCTAAAAACCCTCCAGGTGGCAAAGTCGGCGCGGTACTCGCGGGTCTTTGGAAAGACCTACCAGAGGCTGCCCAGAAAGCCTTTCAGGAGGTCGGGTACAGCCCACCTCGGCCGAAAGGGCCACCGCCACCCCCGCCAGGACTGGACCTCCAGTCCCTCCTTAAGGGTAGGATGACCGAGAAGGAGTACAACGCTGCCAGGGCCGTGGTCTACGCGGGGGCAGGGCTCCACGTCCAGACCCTTTTGGAGGCCGCGGGGATCCCCCCTCCACCAGATGAGGACCTCGACCGGCCAGAACCCACGCCCCAAGAAAAGCTGACCAGGTGTGTCAGCGACTTCAAGAAGGCCACCAACCAGATGAAGAATCTGGTGGAGAAGAAGGCCAAGCTCCAGGCACGAGCGGACAAGCTCAAGCAGGAGCTGGAAAAGCTCATTGGGGACGTGGACCAGGTCGACAAGGACATCAAGGCCAAGGATGTCGAGATCCAGGAGACGGCCAAGGCTTTCAAGGAGATGACGGCGGACTCCACCAGCACCGCCTTCAGCGCCCTGGAGGCGGTCCTTTCGGAGGCCGGCCACGAGCTCAATGAAGCCACCCGCGCCAAGATGAAGGCTGCCCTGGTCGGGAAGGAGGACCTCCCTCCGGACCCCTTCATTGTGAGTTTCAGAGGGCATGATGAGTACTTCCCTCGGGAGATGCCCCCCATGTACGGGCCTGCCCGCACCGATCCGCATGGGAAGCGCCCCACACCTTTGGAAGGGACGAAGCCAGAGGGAGCTGCAGGCAGCGACAACCCCGAATAGGGGCGCCTAGGCGCAGGGGAACCCTGCCTTCCCCCTGGCCCTTTCTGGGCCACGGGCCCCCAGGCAGATTTTGCAAGGGCAGCCGCCCCATCAGGCCCTTCTCCGTTCGTCATTGGAGGTTTTGCAGGCCTTATCCAGCAACCAACTTGCTCTTTTACCGAGGGGGAGTGGTCCGCCACCCTACCTTGGCCAGGTGTCACACAAGAGTAGAGTTTTTTGCAAGTTTTGCAAGAGTGATCTGCACGACCTAGGCAGCACTCACTTGTTTTGCGCGTGTTGCAAAGTCTTTCATAAAACCCCGACGGCGTTGCGTTGGGAGTCAGCGCCTGCCCGATTTTTCAGGGCGCCCTACCAGCCTCGTCCCTTGAGGCCTGGGCCCGGTCTTTTGATTAGGGGTCGTGGGTTAACCACCCCCTTTTCTTCAACCCTGGCGTCGCAGGGAGTCCTCACGCCAACGTGTTCGGACAACCAGAGCGCCCAGGATTTCCCCCAGGCTCTCTGGGCCAAAATTTTTTCCAACCGGTTGGGCCCTGGACCCTGAGCAGGAGGCCTCCGCCCCAAGCGGTACCTTGGAGGTGCTGCCAAGGGGCAATGTGGCCCCCACGGGTTCGGGGTTCACCCCACCCACAACCCCCGCCAGGCCGGTGCTGTGTTTGGCCAAGGCCCTTGACATCAGCCCGTCTCGCGGGGTTCGTAGCACGGCTCACAACCCACGTGGGCGGCGTAAAGTGCAGCAGGACTTCCTCTGGGAGTCCACCCGAAAACATCGAGCTGCCCACCGGGCTAGGAGGCAGCAACAGGCCAATTCTCTTTTTTGGCACTCCTGGCCTCCTGGGCCTGAGCCTCCCAGCGCCAGACCGAAGGAACAGGGCCTCACTTCGCCCCCTTCCCCCCCTGGCGACCCAGGGCGGAGGCCCCATACCCCTCCTGGTCGGTCTCCTGCGAGACTTAGGAAGCGTAGGCCTAGCACCCGGGGGAACGTGGGCAAGCCCCTCCCTGACCTCGAGCCTGAGGCAAATCCAGTTCAGGCCCTTGCTGCAGGGCTTGCGGATGAGCTTCGGACGAACAACGACTGGAGTAAGTCCGAACCCCAGGCTCTAGCCCTCGCTGAGGCCCTGGAAGGAGCTGACGAGGCCAGCTTGGGCTACCGGGTCTCCTACGAGATTCTCGAGGCCATGCAAGGCCAATCGTGGCTGGACCCCATCACCGCCGCGGCTTTCCTGGACGACCTCACGCGGCCCAAGGGCACAAGCGATGCCAAGAGCCCGTTGTGTTTGTTAGTGCCAACATCACAACGTGGACTTCGGATATTCTCAAATGGCACCAGCCGCAAAAAGGGCCCCTTCTCATCCAGGAGCTGCACCTGGGAGATGAAGGTGCCAAAAATCTGCGCATCGAGGCTCTCGCCAGAGGGTACCATACTTTCCTCCCCCCGGTTGAGGGCCCCAGACCCACAAAAGGGGGACTGGCCACACTTGTGCCCATCCACCAACAGGGCCGTTTCAGAGGAGGGTACCTCTCTGACGAAGGGATCGGTTTCTTGATGGTCGAACTCCCCAGAGTTCGCCACTCCATCCTTTTGGTGAACCTGTACCTAAAATCAGGCGTTGGCATCACTGGGGCGCCCAACCCGGAAGTCCTTGCCCGATTGAAGCCCCTCCTGCGCCAAAATTCCAACTGGATTGTGGTTGGGGACTGGAATTTCCCTTCGCAGGAGCTGGCGGAGACCACCCTGCCTGAGGCCTTTCGTGGGCGGATCGTCGCACCTCCGGAGGCGACGATAACTACAGGTAACTGTCTTGATTTCGCCCTGGTCTCCACCAGTGTCGCTTCCCTGTTTACCTGTGCTGCCAGTTGGCAGGTGCCCTTCCGGCCTCACGCTGCCCTGGAGTGCTGTTTTAACACCCCCGGGGGCCAAGTCGCCTTGAGGCAACTCCCAGCGTTTCCTGGGGTGCTCAAAACAGACAGCACTGATCCCCAAACCGGGGCCACCGGTCGGACTGACAGCCTCACCCAGGACTCGACCTTGTCTCAGCTAACCCCCGGTGGCGGCCCTTTGCTTGGTGCTTTCGGGTCGGAGGTGATCCAGGGCACTCTGGTCAACCGCAAATTCGCCGAACTCACTCACCGGTTTGCGGTTGAACACTTCACCAAACCTGGTGGGCGTGGGTGCACCCGGCCCTTCGTGTACAAACCCCTCATGCAACCGAAGGAGGGCTACCCGTGGCACGGCAAGGAGGCGGCCTGGTGGCAGAAACTGCAACTCGCCTGGGACAACCCAGGCACCAGCAAAGCCCGCTTCGAGGCCCTACGACGGTGTTTCCCACCGTCGTGCACGGAGGTGCTGCAGGCCCAACTTGAGAGTGCCGGCCTCTCCGGCCTCAGCCCGGAAGAGGTGCTCTGCAACGGGGAAACCAAGGGTGACACCCGGGCCGGGATCCGCGCTGTTGTCAGGAGCATGTGCCAGGCCGCCATCGAAGAGTCCAGGTCCCGCGAGACACGGGACTACCAGGAGTGGCTTACTGGAGCCTCAGTGAAAGGCCTTCGGCCGCTCTTTCGTACGGTCAAAAAGCAGGAGGCTGAGGTTGCCCGCCCATTCGTGGACGAACCGGCTGAAGCCCGGCCCTACCTCCGACTGCAGCAGTGGGCTCGCCTTTGGGAGTCGAAGGGCCAGCCTCCTCCTCCCATAGGGCCTTAAAGAACGGGCCATTGCTCAAGCCCAGAGACTCCCGGGCTGTCACTGGATAGGAGTTCCAGCGGCTCATTCGTCGCCTGCCCTTAAAAGCGGCGGGTGCGGACGGCTGGTCCCTAGAGCTGCTCAAAGCCCTGACACCAGGTGAGGTTTCCTCTCTGGCCTCGTTTTGGAGGGAAATCGAAACCACGGGAGAGGTGCCACAGCAGATGACATTCACCATCTTCACGATGCTCGCTAAAAACGAGAAAATCGAAAGACCGATTGGTTTGATGTCTTCGCTCCTGAAGCTTGGGATGAAGGCAAGATGGCACCTAGTTGAAGCGTGGCTTCGCGACTATCGCGCTGAGCTTTGGTGGGACTGCGCTTTGCCGGAGCGCTCCACCTACGATGCCTCACTGCGGAGAGGCGTCTGCTACGAAGCCGCGCGCGTCGACGGTCTGCATCGGTGCTCGTTGTTTGTCGACTTGAGTACCTTTTATGAGACTGTGGTTCACTCCACTCTCTGCGACGCCGCGCTCACGGCCGGATTCCCGGACCTTTTGCTTTTCCTTGCTATGGAATCGTATCGCGGCGGCAGAGTGATCCTTTCCGACGAAGTCGCGTCGCCCGTTGCTTTCGCTCGCCGCGGAATTATAGCGGGCTGCCCATTAGCCCCTACCCTGAGTAAACTCGCTGTGGGCGAGCCGATTCGGCAGTGTTGCTCTGGACCGCATGTCAACCACGTAGATACGTGGATAGACGACATCACGGTAGATACTGAACATCACAGCCCGGACCAAGCAGCGAACTCAGTCATTAGGGTCTTCAGACGGCTTCATGCCTCGCTTTCCGCCGCTGGGTACCAGGTATCTATCGGCAAGACCTATTTCCTGGCGAGCAGTCCCCTAGCCGAGCGCGCCTTGCGGCGAAAGTTGGGTGAGGGTGACCCCCCCATTCAGAGTGTTGCCAAAGACCTGGGCATGACGCTGTCAGCTGGCAGGAGACGGTGCACCCGCCTCTCCACGGCGCGGCGGACTAAAGCCAATGCCAGACTGGGCAAGCTACGCAGCCTTAAGGTCCGCAATATCAAGGCCAGCAGCCGGGTGTTTTCCATGTCCGTGCTGGCATCGGGGATCTGGGGACACCAGGCCCAAGGGGTGAGCCCCAAAACTATGAAATCGGTGCGTCTCCAAGCTGCCGCCATCACTGGCAAGGTCGGAACGGGCAGCGTCGAAATCGCGCTGGAACTTGGCGCCTGGCTGGTAAAGGACCCCCGGGTGGCAGTGGTCACACAGCACTTTAAGGCCCTCTGTCGGGTGATGGTCCGCCTCCCTGACCGTGAGCAGCTGGACCGCACGTGGGCTCAGCTCACTACCCAGCTCCAAAGGAAAGACAGATGGCGAGTGGTCTGTGGACCGCTGGGGGCCTATCTGCTGGATCTCGGGCTTGTGGCTCCCACCCCGGACCGTTGGTTATTCCCCGCCGACCTGTGTCCAGCTACCTTGGCTGGGGTCCCTGAGGACCTAGGGATGGTGGCCCTCAACCCCCTCCTACGGAGGCACTGGTCCGCCATCCTCTCTTGCCTGACCAGCGCCTGCCACAAGGCCCGGTGGAAGGCCATCAGCACCCAAACGGGTTGCAGCAGTCTGGCCTCAGGTGTGGATACGACGGTCCCCACAACCCTGGTGAAAAAGGCCCCGCGGATTAAGTCTGCCGCCCTGAGAATGGCCTGGCAGGGAGCTCTGAAAAACCGGCATGTCCAGGCTGGCCAGCAATGCCCCCTGTGCAAGGTGCCCCTCACCCAGCACCACGTTGCCACCGACTGCAGATGGTGGCGAGGCAAGGCACCCCCCCCTCCCAAACACTGGGAACGCCTCACTGCCCACTTCCCCTTCGACTGCTTATGGGAACGGGGCCTGATGCCAGCTCAGGCCACCCAGCTTCAGGGGTACTGCTGGGGCCCACAGTCGGAGCGGGCCGTTGGTGTCTGCAAAGAGGCGAAGTGGCCAAAGGGGCTTTTCTATTCGACGGACGCCTCTGGCGGGCCCTACGCGGCCGACGCCAGGGGCAGGATAGTGGCCTGGGCCATCTGCGCGTTCACCTGGACGGAGGGTGCCCCTCTCCAGGTTGGCCAACTCACTGGCCTCCTCCCCCCTGGGAGTTCTGTGTGCGAAGGGGAATGCTTCGCGGTCGCAAGGCTCACCTCGCACTTGGAGGAGCGGGCAGATTGCACCTCCGACTGTAGTGCGGTGGCCAAGCAGCAGTCACGCGCTGTCAAGCCATGGGTATGGGCCCAGGCCCTTGATAATGCGTCTCTGGCGCAAGTCACGTGGACCAGGTCCCACACCACGGAGGCCGAACACGCGGCTGAATTCGGCCCCGACCAGAGCTGGCGCCGGACTATTAATGCCCAGGCTGACGCCGCATGCGGCGAAGCTGTGCTAGCCGCCATCGCCCACTTACCACAGTGGGATCCATCCCCTGCAGATGATTTGGCGCGAGAGGTGGCGCAACACCTCCAACGCAAAGCCGAAGTGCTACTCCTGAGTACCGACAGGCCCCCATGGGAGGCCGTCGGTGACAGCCCGGTAAAGGGCAAGGGGTCTCCCCGCCCTGATGCCAGGCTCAAGGCGAAACAGGCCAAACCCCCTCAGAGGCAGCATCGACCTGGCGCGGATGGGGGCATTAACAAAAAACAACGCCTGGAAGCCCTAATGGCAGGGGAAGGCCACCATGGGCACCAATTCGAGTGGAGCCATACGAACCCCAACAACCACTCCCTGGTTTGTAAGGTTTGTTCCCTCTTTATCCAGCAAACCCACTCTTCCGAGGCCTTCCGGCGTCTGGAGGCCCAGCCGTGCGCCCACCGGCCGCTGCCCGATCTCAGCAACTTTGGCCTGCACGCGTCCCACTCCTTCTACTGCATGGGGGCGGTCCTCCTTTGCACTAAATGCTATGCGGTCCACAAGCCAGGGCAGCTTAACCCCACGGCTGTGGCCAAATCGCAGTGTGAGGGGGCCTCCCGCGCACACAAAAAACGTGGCACCCAATGGGCGGCCAAATACCTTAAGGAGACGTCCACCCAGGACACTCTCCAGAAGGTGCTAGGACGTGCAGAGAATGAGGGATCCGGTTCTTCCCAGGGGGGTCGCCCTCACAATCCAGGCTCGGTTGCTGGCCCTAGTGGTGCTGAGAGGGTTGAGGACCCCTCCCCTCAGCCTTTTCGCACCCGAAAACAGTCTTCAAAGGCCAAACGGGCCTCGAGCCTCCGCCGGGCAGAGGGTCCGAGGTTCCCTCCCCTGCGCTGAGGGAGCCCGAGTCATCCCTTCAGGCCAGCTTGAGGGCCCTTAGGGTCAGCGGTAGTGGTTCCCACACCGCGAGGGAGGCCCACATAGAGACCTCTGGGCACCACGACCGGGAAAAGGAAAAAGCTTTGGAGAGAGAGCGGAATCCCGCACGAGCGTCTGGTTGCAGGGCCCCTAGACCCTCAGGCTCCAAGTCCTCCGCCCTAGCCCCTTTTTTCTCAGGTCAACCCAAGGCCCCCGAGGCTCCTGTGTCTGCTGGTGATGTTGGGGAAGGGTCTGCTGCACCCACCCCGAAGCCCAAGCCGAAGCCCAAGCCTGTGACTCAACCTAAGCTCCGGCAGTTCTGGGCCCAAGGTGGGAAGCCTTAGGGAAGCCGTAGCCTTTGTAGGCACTTTTCCTTTAGGGCCCATTTCCCCCCTAGTCACCTGGGACGCAAACACCTACCTCTGACGCAGTTTTTCCCCAAGCCTTTAAAGCGCAGTAGCTGCAGCCATGGCCCACGAGCACCTCTCGCTTCCCCGGCCTTAGCCCTCTCACTTATCGAGATGGGCTGGGAATGGGAAAG